TAGTACCTAAAATAATCTCTCTTTTGCTCGTCTATTTCTCTTCCTATGACAGATTCTACACTGTAACAAATGCTGGTTTCCACACAATTGATTTGTGTTGGGACAACATGAAGGAATTAAGTTAACTTATTAGTTTTTACCATTTTAAGGAGATTCAACATAAAACAAATGAGTTATTTTAAAAAGCTCAGGAATTGTGTTGTTTTACTTTTTTTTTTTAAATAAGTACTTTGAATAAAAAAATTTTCACTCTAAAAAAAAAAAAGCTGGGCTCCACACAATTCCTTCATGTTATCCCAACCCAACATAAACTAAGTTAACTTAATTGTTTTTACAAATTTAAGTGGATTAAACATATATTTAACAAAGTTTCACCCTCAAGAATGGTGCTCATTTTAAATAAGTAGTTTGAACAAACAGCAAATGTTATTTGTTGAGTGCACTGAACAAAAATTTGAATTGTTGCTAAATTTAAGGTAAGGGGTTGCAAACACACTCTATGGGCTGAATATAAACAAACACATTTAATTTAGTAATGTTCAACTTAATTTATTTGTTTAAATTCAGCCCAAATAAATTGTGTGCAACCACTTACCTTAATGTTTTTGTAAATACATGGAATAATCCTTTTCAGGGTGTAATAAATATACAAGAACGCCTGATGTCTGTAAATGTTCATATATTTGTGTATTAAATGAAGCGTGTGTGTATGTGTGTGTTCAGAGTAAGCTGGTGATGGAGGGCTTCAGGAGCCTGCGGGAGGGCGAGCAGGTGGAGTTCACCTTTAAGAGGTCGAGTAAAGGTCTGGAGTCGCTCCGGGTGACGGGGCCCGGGGGAGGCCCCTGCTCTGGCAGCGAGCGACGCCCCAAAGCAAAGGCCCCGCCCCTCAAACGCAAACCAAAGGGAGACCGGTGAGTGTGCACTGCATCATGGTACATAGAGTTTTCTTACTTTTAGGTTTGGAAAAAAAGAATCATTGGCTTTACAAAGAATTAAGGTAGGTGGTTGCAAACAATTGATATGGGTTGAATTTAAACAAATAAATGAAGTAATTAATAAATGTAATTGGTTTGTTTACATTCAGCCTTTATAAGTTGTTTGCTTCCCCTTTACCTTAATTTTTTGTAAATTTAATGAATCATTTATTTCAGTGTAGTTGTTCTAAAGTAAATAAATATTCACTTTTACATTAATATATGGTATAATTCATTTAATACAAATATTATTTATATTTTGCACTGTAAGAAAATCTTGCTGCCTTCAGTTTTTTGTTGAATCAATCAAACTATTCCGATTTGTCTCAACTTAAAACAGTCAAATTGACTAAAAATATTAGGTTAAACTTTGTATACATTTTCAAACAATTTATACAGACTGAATTTAAACAAACAAATAAAGTTGAACATTACTGAATTAAATTTGTTTATTTAAATTAAGTCCATATAAATTATTTTGCAACCACTAAACTTAAAAAACAATTTTTTTCTGTTTATTTGTTTTGCAGTAATTAAACAGTGACCGGTTTTTATCTTTATTTTATTTAGCATGCATCTCTTCAAATGTAAATGTACCTTTGTTTGCATAGCTTCTATTATCTTTGATTTTCACTAGCTTTACTTGTGTGAGAACAGCCAGAACAAAGTTTCACTTTTAATGATAAAAACAGAAATAATCATAGAGAGTAAATATTTATAAAATGTTTAGTATTCAGGATCTCCACTAGTTGCCATTTAATAATTGAAACTCTTGGAAGTTCTTGTTTAGTCAAAGCTTATTTAAAATCTTATCCCATTTTTTTTTAAACAAATAAATACTGCATGGTTTAGTTGCAGTGATTTTAATCATCAGAAGCATTGGAAGCTCTTAATTTGTAAAAACTTATTGAAATCTTAATCTCAGAAATTGTATAAATGTTTTTAAAAGCATCTCTTGTTTTGTTCTGTAAATGCATGAAAACATTTTTAGTGATTTACTGATCAATGCTGTTCAATGATAGTTTTAATAAATAAATAATATTAGTAATTGTTATATTAGCAAACATATTTAAGTATATTTATTTAAGAACAAAACATTCAAAGTAATATCATGTCACAGAAATGAGTCACATTAATCATTCTATCCTTTATTTTCCTTTGGCTTACCTTATATATCCGGAGTCGCCACAGCCGCCAACTATTCCAGCATATATTTTACACAGCAGATGCCCTTCCAGCTGCAACCCAGCACTGGGAAACATCCATACACACGGCCAATTTAGTTCATTCAATTCACATTTTACAAAAAGTAAACATTTGTTATCATAATGAACAGCTATATTTCTATAACGTTTATTAACTTGATATAAAAAAATTACACATTTTAGTTAAATGTCACCCAAACTGTTATCAAATATTTTTACCCCAAATTTTCAAAATAATACTAAAATCACAATTTACTATGTAAAATAGATCTTAATAAAATACTAATTCCTTTCTATAAAATACATGGAGTATTTCTAGATTTAATTGACTGGAACTTGATCTTTGTTAAGCTGCTTTGACACAATCTATAAAGTAAAAAGTGCTATAGAAATAAAGACTATTTACTGTCAAATTTGCTGCATTTAATGTTGACGTTTCAGTGCATTTGAAGCTTAAAATTCTTAATATTCACAGTTTCTTCTTTCTTCTGTATAAAACAGTCAATGTATAGTATTAATGCCGGTCTGTGGAGCCACATAAATTATATAGCTAGTTATTTTCAGTGTGTGTGTATATATATATATATATATATATATATATATATATATATGTATATATATATATATATGTATGTATATATATATATATATGTATGTATGTGTGTTATAGTTTCGCCAAACCTTTTCTGTACCCGACTCAACATTGATTGTAAGTCTGTCTTCTACTTCCTGTTGCCATGGTGATCAGAGCAAAAAAAAAAAGAGAGAAACCAAACTGAACAAGTCTTTTCAGTCTGTTGTGCTAAAAGCTATTTATAAGTATGTACGTGCGCGTATGTGGGCGAGCATATAGACTGTCCCTATAGCGGCAGACATGATGGACATTTATTGAACCCATCAACTGACACTGGTGTAGCCAAATTGATGTTTTAATATCTATTTATTTGTGGTTTTTTTTTTATCAAAAAAGGCTAGTTAACATTTTGTAAAAGAATTGTGATATGATTTTGGCATGAATTATTACACTCAAGGCTAATAACAATTACATTTAAAATAGTAATCAATCAAAGACTGTGTATTCCACTTA